CCCCCTCCCTCCCTCCCCCTCCCCCCAATTTCCACCGCGGCCAATTCATGGACAGGAACTACCCCAGCGCCGGCTTCGGGGACCCGCTCGGCGCCGGGGCGGGATGGAGTTACGAGAGGTCAGCGAAAGCTAGGTAAGGAACCGAAGGCGGCCTGGAGGAAGGGGCCAAGGGGTGGGGGCCCAGCCGGGCCGGGCCGGGCCCGCCCGGCGACGCGTGCATCGCAAACTCCCCTCCGGCTTGCAAGGGAGCGGCCTTCCTCGGTTTGCAACAACGCCGCCGCCCCAGTTTGCAAATTGCAAACTCTGCCGAAGCCAGCTCCGGCATGCAAAAGGAAAGATACAGCGGGAAAATGGGGGTGCAAAACAATTTCGGACGGAAAGGCCTTGGGAAGGTGGGAGGGACTGGTGAAGCAAGGCCTGGATTTCCCCCCATTCTCGGATTCCCGGCTTGCTGACCCCTCCCCCCCGCGCCCCAGGCTCTGCTCTTGCAAAGGTGGAAAGGAATGGAGAATTAGAACGTAGACTTGGGGGGCGCGCCCCCCCTTCCCGGGTCCTATTGTTCCGGGACCGCGCGAGGCCGCGCCACTCGCCCCCCCCCAAATTCCGCGCGCAGAGTGGGCACAGGGCCCCGCCCCCTTACTAAGCTGGGGTTGTGTGTAAGGGGGGGGAACTGGCATCTGAGACACGCCCCCTTTAGCTCCCCCACCCCCAAAGGCAGAGGATCCTAGTTGATGGCGAGGAGTGGTGCGTTTGACCTCTCGAGTGTGGGCCGTGGACTGGGGCCGGTGCGTGGGAAGGTCGGATGTTTCCCGGGTGTATTTGTTTGTGAATGTGGGCCCTGTGCTTGGCGTGGCTGGCAGCCGGTTCTCCAGCTAATCTGCCCCTTCCCTGCTGTTTATTTGTGTTCTGCCCTCTCGAACCCTCTCTCCACACACCCGGGTTTCCCAGCATGGCTGGGCATGACCCCACGTGTGTTAGAATTTTCCATGTGGGACTCCTCACTCTCTCTCTTTCTTCCCCACGGGTGAGTTGGGTACTGGTTTGCACACATACTTGACTTTGCATGGGCCCATGCATTTGAACCTCAACCCCGGGGGATTGACGGTGGTCATGTTCGCACTTGTACCTGGTACTTTCCCTGCGTCCTAGCCCCTCCCTGCCCCCACCCCTGCCGTTTGGGGAACAATCTGCCTCCTGCTCCTAACTCGTTTTGCACCATCCTATGTGTTTCCACGTGTCTGCTGGAGAGAGGGCGTTCAAGTGCATTTCTGAAGTTGGCCTCCAGGGCTTTATCGCCCCAGCGGGGTGGGGGGCCCGGTAGGAGGTCCGTGCCTTGTATGTTTAAGCTTGAGGTACTCCCTCTGTTTATCCTCTTCTGTGTCTGTCTCTGCATGTCAGTGTTTTTTTATACGTGAGACTATCCAGGCTCTATTTATTGGGGCTCGGACGGAGACCATTCCGTGGCTCTCTCGTCAGGTACCCCAATTCCCTTCTCTCTAGGGCCCAAGGTTCCTTGAGATAACCCCCCCAGTCAGCTGGCAGTCACCCCAAGTCTCCGGGGGATTTGCCGAGTTCCCTTCTCCGAGGGCAACTTCGGAGAGCACCCTAAAATCTCCCCCTTCTCCCCAGCTTGGTCTATGGCAGCTCCAGGACCTCGCACCCCGAGACGGACATCTTACACCGCCAGGCCTACGCGGCCCCCCACCCACTGCAAAGCTATGCCACCAACCACCACCCGGCAGGTACGGCCCCCGTCCCGCCCCTCCTGGACTGGCCCGCCCACCGGGACAGCTGATTGGCTGCCGAAAGTTCCACCCCCTCCTAATTGGCCTTGCCCTCTGTCCTGGCCCGCCCCTTGCCAACTCTCCGCTGATTGGCTGCCTCTGAGGCTGCTGGGCCCTGTTTAATTTCACGCTGGATTCGTCCTCCGTGGGCCCCGGCGCCGGGCCCCGCCGGACCCCGTCAGTCCCCAGGTCCCACCTTCCCCTCCAGCCTTTGCCGGCTGACCAGCCCACCTCTCCAGCCCCTCCCGTCTCGGTCTCGGCCTGCCCCCTTCCCGGGGCTCCCAGGTTCTGAGTTCTCGCTTCCTGATTCCCCTCCTTCCTGATTGGCCGCGGCTCTTCGGCCCGCCCCTTTTCCTTTAGACTCGCCCATTGCCTAGTCCCCCCCTCGGCCCGCCCCTGGCGTTTCTGATTGGCTCCGCCCTTGCATCCTGCCGCCCTCCTTCCTAGAAGGAGACTCTGTTGTCCAGTTAGATTCTTGGCCTTCCTGGTTGGGTCCTTCCCTTTTTTCCTTCCCTTTTTTCCCCCAGAATCCTCCCACTCTGAGTCAACTTGTCCTTTCTGCTTGCCCTCTGATCTTTCTAGGGGCATCACTTACCCCACCCCTTTCCCCTTTCTGGCGGGAGGTGCCCGAATCCTTTGGCCCCGTCCCACACACACACCCCCCTCGCCGTAAGGACTCTGCTTTTTGCTTCTGCCTCCTTTCTCGTCTGCATTTCTCCGCGGCCTCCCTCCCTGATCCCCCGTCTGCTGAGATTGCACGCCATCCCGCTTCTAAGTCTCCTTTCCCCACTTCCCTGCCGACGGTCCGAACCCCTTACCCTGGCAACTTGCTTTTGGCCTCCTCCCTATCGGCGATGCTCCGTGGCCCACTCAGTTGACGCTGCTCCCCTGTTCCTGGCCAGGCCTCTCTGGACTGTTTGACACTGGTCTCCATCACGCGGGCTCAGCAGGGCCCGACGCCTCCGTCATGAACCTCATCTCTGCCCTGGAGTCCCGGGGCCCCCAGCCTGGCCCTTCTGCCTCTTCTCTCCTCTCCCAGTTCCGCAGTCCTTCCTGGCAAACAGGTAAGCGGAGCGCGGGCCCAGGAGGTCCAGGGTGGGGCTGGTTTGTGATGCGCTCTGACCCGCGTCTCCGTCGTTCCCAGCCATGCACACGCCAGGCCCCACGGAGCTCTTCATCTCAGGCGCCCTGCCGGGTTCCAGCACCTTCCCATCCTCCTCTGCCCTGTCGGCCTACCAGCACCCAGCCTCCTTTGGCAGCCGTCCCTTCCCGGTGCCCTCCTCCCTCAGCCTCCAGGACCCCCCTTTCAGCCCCCCGGCTAACGGGCTCCTGTCCCCTCATGACGTGCTGCACCTCAAGCCCTCGCAGGCACCCACGGTTCCCTCCTCGCTAGGCTTTGAGCGCCTGGCGGGGGGTGGTGTCCTGGGGCCCGCTGGCCTTGGCCCAGCCCAGACCCCTCCGTACCGCCCTGGCCCCCCAGATCCACCCCCACCTCCCCGACATCTCCCAACTCAGTTCAACTTGCTGGCTTCCTCTTCTGCTGCTGCCGCCGCCGCCGAACAATCCTCCCCACAACTCTACAACTTCTCGGGAGCGGCCCCGGGCCCCCCCCCACCTGAGCGGGCCCTGCCCCGCCAGGACACGGTCATCAAGCACTACCAGCGGCCTGCCAGTGCCCAGCCCCCACCGCCCCCGCCGCCAGCCCACGCCCTCCAGCACTACCTGAGCTGTGGCGGCAGCTACCCCTCCATGGGCCACCGAGCCAACCTGGCCTGCAGCCCGCTGGGCGGTGGGGAGCCCTCCCCAGGTGCTGGGGAGCCCAGCAAAGCTGGGCCCAGTGGAGCCACTGCTGGGGCATCTGGCCGGGCTGCCGGCCCTGAGGCGACTGGGGGAGGTGGGGCGGGCGGTGGAGGGGGAGGTTACCGCCCCATCATCCAATCGCCTGGTTATAAGACGGGCAAAGGCGGTTATGGAGCCGCTGCAGGTGGTGCCACGAGGCCCCCCCCTCCCCGCTCGACCGCTACGCCCAAATGCCAGAGTCTGGGTGGGCCGGGGGCAGCTTATGCCACTGGGAAGG